CGGATGGGTCAGCGGACGGGCCTGGATTGTAGTGCAAAATTTGTGGGCCGACCTGAAACCAGTCCCGGAACCCGTAGCGAACGGGCTTTTTTTCACGCGGGCCGTTACCAGACTCATATGTTGGCGGGCCAGCCCGGTTCACCCATATTGACACCTCTAAATGAATCCAATATAGCAGTTGACCATTTTAAACTGTGACAAGTGCCTAGTACTAAAAATTATTTTCCTAAATAAGCACAGTAGGAGTACCAACATAGTAGACACACATGGAGTTATATTGATGATTGTTTGGTTTGTGAAAGATGGTGAAGGTATTGGGTGATCTTGGTAAAAGTAAGATAAAGCTCAACCTGTTTGATAATTACTGATGGATATGGTTCTCAAAGCCTTAAGATGAATGTAAGAAGTTGATGGGAAATTGTTCAAGTTGGCTGTGTTGCATGAATATCCAAGAATTTCTATATATCCGTTCTGAAAACACTAGAAGAAGGAGAAGAAACGAAAAAGTAGAAGTTTCTTGGGGTGTTTGACCAAAGAATCTAGGCATGTAGCTTTGCCCCAAATTTCCAGGCACTCGTCCAAATTGAAAAAATACCACCTCATATGTAACAAGGCTATTTTCATTCCATGGCCAGAATTCACCTAAAAATTGCCTCTGAAAATACTGGTATACCTCAAATCATGAAATCCTTCTGCGCACTAAATCTTGAATATGAATCGAACTGGTTGTGTACTTCCATTCCTTTTCACAACCTTTCTTTATTTGTAAAGGATTCTCTATTCACATCTCAATTAAAAATTACCTATAGTGCTCCAGGAAAGAAAAGAATAGGAACTATTATGGAGACAAATTTTCTGATCTTTGCATATGCCACAATGATTTTTTCTAGTCTCCTTATGACTTGGTGTGACCTGGTAAAATTCTCCCACCTGAATAAAGAAATTCTTGGTTTGACCACATCTAATTGTTGTTCTATTATTTTTTACCCCGTAAGATACATTTTTTTTATTAAATTTATTTTATCATATCTTGCAGCCTTGATGGAGAAAATTTTACTTTCTCTCATTATTCAGACTGTATTTTGATGATTTAGCCCCCGTTTGGCCCCCATTTTTTTTCTATTACATTACATTAATTTTTTCTCTCTCTTCGTTTCAACCACACATTTATCAAATAAAATAATATTATACACAAATCTAAAAATTTTCATTACTTTTCTACCACACATTCTCCCATCAATCACTATTCCAAAAATTTTCAATACTCTAAAATGGGGGCCAAACAGAGGCTTAATAATTCACTGTTTTTCTCTTTCTTCCTTTTTGTATCTGAAATACAAAAAATGTTAAGTCTTAACTGTGGTTATGAATTTACCTTCAGGGATATGGTGTCGTACTTGGGAACATTGATGAGGCAGGGACATTGTTTGTTACGAACTTTCGTCTTCTTTTCCTGGTGAGTAAGGGCATCCAATTTTTGGCAGCTTCCTTTTCCCTAATATTTATACTACAGATAATAAAAAGAGGGCCTGCCAGGTGAGAGACACGGCGGGCCCCACATGTTTGAAAAATAAGAATAAAAATTCCACCCCACCCCCAATGCTGTGTCTTCCCTATAAACACACCACCCACTCATGTAAAAAAACCCTTGTACTTGTAGCACAACTCTAATAAAAATCAAGGTTCTTATCTGTTTGTCTTATTATTATAAAAATTTAAATTTAAGAAATCAAAGTAAGGAAATGTAGAAATTCACGGGCCTAACTCATCTCACAAAACCTGTTCAACAAGAGAGGTTTGCCACAT